AATCCATTACGATGCTTTCTTCAGTCATAAAGTGACGTGTCCTGAGGAAAAGCACATTTTTGGGTAAAACACAAACAGTTCTAAAAATCGGAGTGAAGTTTGCATGGCCTGCACTAATTTATATTTCTCAGTGTTAAGATTGTTTCAGCAAAGTGACAATATGTAAAGAATGTTGAAGTGCTGTTGAGTCAGTTCGAACTCAGAGAGACTCTGGATAGGGTTTCTGAGCAGCAGCTGGTGGGTTTGAACTGCCAACCTTGTGGTGTGCAGTCCAGTGCTGATCCTACATCAGTGCCACATCAGGAGTCTAGATTATATATGATATATATGGCCACTGAGATTCTTCTATGGATTGGTATGGCACTTTAGGATAAGCACGGGACTACGAACCACAAGGTTCAAACCCATCAGTCGCTCCTTGGAAACCCTGCACAGGTTCGCTATGAGTCGGAACCAACTGAAAGGCATTTAACAACACAGTTCTTCTATATGTACGTGTACAAGTGTGTGTGTGTGCTTGTGTGTGTATGAGGGGGGTTCAGAAGTTCATGGGAAATTTTCATAGTCTTAATTCCATTATATAAAATGAAGGTCAGCAGTGGGAACTCACCAGCGACTAAGTAAAAAAGATCTGCTATCGGTTCCTCCCAGGATAGGAAGCCTTATGGGGCAGGGCTACTCTGTTGCATGGGTCAGAACTGACTTGGCAGCACACTATAGAGATGTGGGTGTATCTATATATCTGAATGCCCAAGAAAGAAAATCTTCAGACACAAAAACCAAATGGCGTCTACCCTGCAGTTATTGTTAGGTGCCCTCGAGTCAGTTCTGACCCATAGCAACCCTGTATAGGGTTTCCAAGGTATGACTGGTGAGCTTGAACTGCTGACGACTTTGCAGTTCAAACCAACTTTGTAGTCCAGCGTATTAATCTGCAACGCCACTCAAGGAGTGCTAGGAATAGTAGGGACCTAGATCACTGGATACGCTCGGGTGTTCAGGAAAGAGTTAGAACTGAGGTCCTGCTCCCAAAAGTGAGACCTGTGGAAGGGCATCTCAAGGACAGAAAAGCAGAAGTTTCTCTCTGTTGGAAGTCTGGGTGAAAGTCAGTTTCAAGGAGGGATTGAAACCCCAGGCCCATGCAAGGAGTTGAACATATGCTAATCACATGGTGAGGAAAACCAAGTTTTCCTGAGTAATTAGGATATAAAAAAAAATACCACACCCCAAAACTGATACCTCAGAGGTACATGGCAGAAGCAAATGCAAAGCATGCATAAGGGACTCTTCACTAACCCAGTCTACAGAGTATCTCCGCACAAAAGCAAGAGCCACTTAAGATGAACTCATAATAAGAATGATATCACACAAGGACATATCTACCACAACACAATAAACACTGGAAAACTTTCAGGTATGTTTAGAACAACTTGTACCTGTAACTGTTTGTGAAACACATTTTTCTGATAATAATTTACTGTTCAAATTGAGATGTGTTCTCAGTGTAAAATACATACCAGATTTTGAAAACTTAGTATGAAAAACGATACACCATTAACTTTTAAAATAATTGACTATGTTGAAAGAATTTTTAGATTTGTTAGTTAAAAAAGATAAAATACATTAAAATTAATTTCATGGTTTTTTTTAAAATGTGGTTGTTAGAAAATTTATATTACATTTATGGCTCATATATTTCTAAGACAGCCTTATACTAGAACATGTACTTAGGTTAAAAAATGTTTGTGATTTAAGCTAGCTTCTAGATCTCAAATACTGGAGGCTAGGGAGTAACAAATGGGAAGTACAAATTCACTCGAAGACAGCTACTCTGGTTATAAGGATTTTTCTTTCACTTGTATCATTAGAAGTAGTCAATCTAAGGGATCTGACTCCATGGACATTTCTGACTTCTTTTGAAAAAGTTGTTTCCAAAATTATCATTGTTAAGTGCTGTTGAGTCGATTCTAACTCACAGCGATCCTGTAGAGGGTTTCTGAGGAGCGGCTTGGTGAGTTTGAACTGCTGATCTTGCAATTCAAACTGACCTTTCTGTCCAGTGCTTATCCTACAGTGCCAAACCAAATTTGTGATTATAAGCCATCAAGTTTTAAATGTGTGTGTATGTATAAATATCATTGCATTGTTTTTAGTTCAGTTTATTTACCCAATGGTCAAATAAACATTTGACAGGAGGAATTTAAATCAAATGCTGCGATAGAGGACTCCTGGTGGTGCTGTAGGATCAGCATTGGACTGTGAACCACAAGGTCGGCAGTTCAAACCCACCAGATGCTCTTCAGAAACCCTATCCAGGGTCGCTATGAATTGGAATTGATTTGACAGCAATGAATGCTGCCAAGTAAATGATGACTTATTACTGATTTTAAGATATATCCTCATTTCAGACATTACACTATGCATCACTGCTGCAATATGGCATTATGTACCCTAGATGCCACTTGGAGACCCACATTTAATACTGATAGGACGCCAGCTCACAACTTCCTTTCCCTATTCATCATGGATCTCCCAACTACCTATGTCTTCTCAGTTCCATAAGTCATTAAGGGATTCTGGTGTAGATGACTCCATTCACACGCTAAAGAGGCCTTGTTCTTCAAGGTGAACCTCTGGAATTGTGATGACTAGCAAGCTTCCTTATGGTCTCACCCTAGGCTTTGGTAGTTCCCTTCCACATGAACATTCTGAGGGTACTAGTCAGCTCCCCTGTGCATTCTCAAGAATCACTGTCCTTTTCTTCAAAAGCACCTGTGTGATGCTCCTTCCTGCTCTGTATCTTAAACTGGTTCCTTATGTAGGATAAAATATTCCCAACTGAGCTTCAATATATAAACATCCATTGGCGTAAACCGTTCCCTGATGTTGTTAAGTGCTGTTAAATTGGCTTCCACTCAGCAACCAAGGAGTACCTGTGGGTTTGAAATGCTAAGCTTGCGGTTAGCAGTCTAATGATTATCCTACAGTGCCATACCAGGACTCCAAATCTTTCCCCAAAACATTGATTTTATTCTAGTTAAGAAAGGAAGTTTGTCCTGAGGGTGACAAAAAGGCTGCAGCAAGGAAAAGGAGCCAGATGCTAACCACTTACGTTCAGTAGCAACTTGGTCTTGAAGATTCTTTTAAGATTCAAAGAATTCCTCTCGTTTGTATACTCTAAAATGGAGGGAAGTATGACCTACACTGGTATGGTGCTGTGGGTTAATGCACTGGACTGCAAGGTTACTTTGAACCACAAGGTTGGTAGTTCAAACTCACCAGCTACTCCTTGGAAACCCTATACAGGGTGGCTGTGAGTTAGAATCGACGTGACCGCACTGAATAACAATAAGAAGAAAGTCATTAATACATGAACACACCACACTAGCCTCTAGGCATGCCCATTTAAAATCTGCAAATGGTTTAATTTGGTGTCTCAGCAGAGTTAAACTTAAGAAGGGAATAGAGATGAACATTTCAATAGCATTTTCTTAAAAAAAAAAAAAAAGAAAAAAGAAAAAAGAGCTTTATTTAAAAATACAATCTTTGTAAAAAGACAACTTTTATATACAGTTATTTAGTTTAGAAACAGTCAAAAACACAACAAATAAACCCAGATTTAGAAATTAATGATTCATAACATATACAATACTGGTGTTGAAGATAGTCAAAATCTATGATTTATTCTTTTTACCCCATCATATTTTAATAATTCACATTGTTAAAACCAGTGGCTGGGACTAAAGAAAAGGTGTCATCTGAAACCTTTCCTTTTTGGGAATCTGCCACCTTTCCTGGTAGCTACAGAAATGGCAGTAGCCTGTGAGTCCAAAAATACATCTCCTCCAGTATTTTCCCATTTGACATTCATCTGTATGTGGCTTGAGGGCCTGGTCATTTATTATTTTTTTTAAAATGGAAATTCTCTAAGAGCAAGGAGCATGCACTGCAATTGCTGGCACAGGTCTTGGTGCTTAATGCCCTCAGGACAGCAAGGACACAACATGATTTTGTCTCCAAGCCAGCATTCTCAGCAGCTATCAACCACTCGGTTTCAGCATGGTACTGAAGTATGTTCACCCATATTCAAACATCTAATATAGATTTGTAATAAAGAAGGAGAAATCGACTTGTCAAACTAAAGTGCTATGAGTTACTACATTCAAGAGGCTGTCTTGAATTAGTAATCTGACATTTAAAAATGATTTGTACCATGGTCCTTGCTACTGAATATACATCTTCCTGGACAATCAATTTTACTCAAGAATTTGGAAGGAAAACTTCCCAATTTTAAAAGGTTCTGTTGTATACAGTCACAAACAAAACCAATATAATATTAACAATATAACATATGACTTCAAAGACATGACAGGCTAACAGTTCTATGCTCTCATCCCTGATTCTCCTACAAGGAGTATTTCAGTAGTGACATTCGTGGAGCGGTGACCTAGGAGCTCCTGATTTCAGAAAGGGTGGCCAGGTCCTCACCGGGAGCGAACAAATAAAATGCAGACTTGTGGCTCATTCTATTGAGTTCCATCTTCTCTGATTACATACAATCCTGTCTACTTTAACCAGGAAGAAAGTCAAGGAAAGAACTCTTTGGACTGATTTTTATTTTACATTGTTTCAACAATTAGAAGAAGGCTACTAAAAAGAGTGACGACTTACAACTAAAATACACAACATGTGTCATCAAACAGTGGAACTCACAGAGCCAGAAGGTTAGAACTTGACCCACTGAAAAGAAGTAACAGGAACAGAAATGCTGGGTGGGTTTGTCCTCATTTCAGATTTACATTCAACTATAACATCAATGTTCTTTCTGTTGAAGAGGTAAACATATGACACCTTTCTAAGCCATTGTTCCTAATTATAGTACCTCTTCTAGAACTAGGGACCCTTTCTTACCCTAAAGGGATCCTTTCAGTATAGTCATGAAGGGAAACCAAAAATCTCCCACCAACAATAACTACTTGCTGTCAGATAAAATAGAAATGAGTTGCCAATGAAACTATCTGAGTCAAATTTACAAAGTTTTTTGTATTTTTTTTTTAAAACAATGGGTCAATTTATAAGGCCATGTAAGAAAAACCTCATCTGTAAAGCAAGTTGTCACCCAACACATTTAATAATTAAATAAGGTTAAATATGACACTGGATCAAAAACGACCCTAGACAGTTAAAGGATTAATCCTATTAATCCCACAATTTAATGAGGCCATCCCATCCACATGTTATGACCTTAGATGTTTCATGAGGATGCCACACTGCACCTATACAAACTTTATCATGAGCTTTAAACCGGCTATAGAGTTTTGTGGTCTTCCAGTCCCAAATGTTTAGTTTTCCATTTCCATCTCCTGAAATCACATAGCTACAACAGGAAGAAAAAAATATATCAAATTATTCAAACACTTTAAACTGGTAAAGTAAGATGAACTGAGAGAGATTTTTCAACTTTTCTACCTTAACATATATATATACAAAAATACATACATATCAATGTGAATATACAGACTTTAGTGACCTTAAAAAGGTAGGACATGAAGAAGTCTATAAATTAAACTTTGACCAAAACCCAAACCTTTCCACTAGCTGCCAGCAGAAGACTGGGCATTCCAAGGGCCACACTGAGTGACTCTCACAATAGGCCTTATGCAGAGTGTCTTTAGACAGTCAAAGAGAACAATGGTGACATATGCTCAGGAGACACACTGTGACTCATTCTACCAAATTCAAAATTCTGTTTTGGCTTCAACCTTTTTTGAATATGTCTAAGGCTGACCCACAGGTAGCACTCCAAGGTCCAATCACTAGGCTAAACATATGGGGTACGAGGGTCTAATGAACTACTTCCACCTATATATTTTAACTACAAATGAGGGGATGGATGTAGTTTCACTCTTAGACTCTGTTGTTGTTGTTGTTGTCAGGTGCCATCGAGTCGAAACTGACTCATAGTGACCCCATGCACAGCAGAACGAAACAATGTCAAATCCTGGGCCAAGCTCACCACCGCTGCCACACTTGACGCCATCAATGATGCCACCTGGC